CCTCTCCTGAGATTTAATTCTTCTTCAAACGTCCGCTGCTGGGTTTCTGCCGTTGTCCTTTGTTCGTTTATAATAGTTTCTTTCTCCCTTAGCTCCTGCTCAGTCGTGTTTCGTAAAAATATTTCGTTATCAAGCCTTCGACGAATCTGCTCAAGTGCATTTTCCATTCTCTCCGCCAGCAAGTAACGAGAAGATCTCACCTGGCTCAATTCCTCTTCTATTCTCAATCTCGATCTTTCTGCTTCAGATAATCTTTCTTGTATTTCATCTACAATTATTTCCTTTTCTCATACCTGCTTCTTTTGCGTGTCGTGCAATATTCAGAATTCTTTCCGTCTCCGCAAGTTCCTTTTCCAATCTTTCTTTCTCTTTAACATGATCATTTCTTGCTTGGATTAATTCCTCTTCCAATCTTCTTCTTCTTAGCTGCTCGTCACCTAACATGTTTTCCAGTATCACTGCATTCGTTTCCTTTTCCAGTAATTGTTCCATTGTTTTTCTGCGCAAACATATTTCTTTCCCAGGTTTCTTTGCATCTCTTAACGTTTATTTTCCAATCTTTTTTCTAACTTAATACAAACATTTCTTGCTTGCTTTATTCCTCTTCTACTCTACTTCTCCTTAGCTTCTCTTCGCTTGATTCTTTCTGTAGTTCGTCTAGAAACGTTTTCTTTTCTCTTAATTCTTGCTCCCTGGTGCTGCGCAATTCTATTTCGTTTTCCAAGTTTCCTTACATCTTTGCAAGTTCATTTGCTAATCTCTCCTCCAGCTCTTTACATTCCTCTGTAATTTTCTTTCTCGCTTGCTTTTCTTGTTCTATCGTTTTCTTTAATTCTTTCAGAACTGGTTCGTTTTTTCGTAATCGACTCCCTTTAATTGCAACCGACAGGAGCATTTTGTTACCGAGCATTTGCGCAAGCAACTTATTTAGTCTCTCTTCTAGTTCCTTACAGGCACTCTTCACAACCACCGATTCCTCTTCCAATCTCATTCTTTAGCCACGTTTCCCTTGTTCCAACGTTTTCTGCAATTTCCCTAAAATTGTTTCCTTTTCTCTTAATTCCTGCTCGTCCTGCTCTATAATGTTGTGCCAAGATATTTCCTCATTTAGTGTTTTACGCACTCGCGCAATTTCATTTTGCAATTTTTGCAGAGATTGTCGTCCTTCCATTTTTATGTTTGTCGTATTGTGGTAATTCTCGTTTACTCCAGGCCCGTTTTCTTTGTATGTAGGTTGTACTTTCTTTCTTTGCGTCTTGTTAAATACTGGTATTCACCAGCCTGATTTAAGCATGGAAGCATTTATGTTCACTTTTGAAACTGTTCTTGGAGTCATAATATCCACTTACTCCAGTTTTCCACTCGTTTTCTTCAAAAGCTCTTGTTTGTTCGCCGGTGAGTAATTCCACTATTTTCCAGCAAATCTCTT